TCTCCGGCGCGGCGGCGGCGGCGGCGGGGCTTTTCCTGTCCGGTTACGTTAAGGTCACATGACCGAGAGAGCGGAGCGACTAGTGCAAAGAAGAACTGGCCAGCAGGAGCCCAGCAGCCTTCTGGAGCTCCCGAGCTGAGGCAGGCAGTGGGAGTGTCCCAGGCTTGTCCGAGTGCTATCCTCCAGCCAGGAGGCCCAGGTCACCCCTGTGACCCTTCAGAGGAGGGCTTAGGCGCCTCCCCTTCCCCCGCCCGCCTCCGCCTCCTGCTGCTCTGCCGCCGCCGCCGCCGCCGCCTGCAGCACTAACTACACTGCCGCTCCCACCCCGGCTCCGCGCTCTGCTCCAGCCAAACTTCTGCAAACCATGTGCAGCCGAGGCGAGGAAACTTCTCTCCACTTACTGGGGCCGGAGGCTTGAGTCACAAGCCCCATGTTTACATAAAGTGTTTAGGTAGGACAACCCAGGAGGTACTCGGGGAAGGGATGGAGAGCTGCTTGGATCCTTCTGCAAACTTCTTGACATCTTTGGGCTGTAGCTTTGTTCCTTGACTTACCGTATTAACATAGATTTTAACCTTCATTGGAGTGGATTCGAGAACCAGGGAGATGATTGTAAATCACGAATACCTTTTATCACCAGTGGTAACTGAACAGTCATACTGAAATAGAAATGCCTGTGCTGTGTATAGTGGTAGAGGTGCGTCCTTACCGACTGACTACTTGAGTGTCATGTAAGACGTTTCTGGTAGGATTGAATTTGATGCATATTCCAGTAATTGGGTTTAAGCTTTTGAAGCTTTGGTCCAAAAATATCGAGAGTCTGAAAAAGCATGTTTGTTACTTATAAACGGTTTACTCTTTAAGTTTGGTCTTTGAGGTACTGTTGGAATGGATTCCAGAGTTGGCCATTCTGTTAAATCTGAGGTCCTGAAATCTTAACAGGGAGATCCGGAAACATTACAGGACAGGCAAGGGACTTAGATTCTCTGATGGTCATTCTTAACATTTTAAAGTTTTCTGTTGTTGCCATTTTGCTAGAATTTATGTTTTTGGAAGTACAGTTTAATTCTTTGAGGACTGGCTTTGATTTTATACTATACTATGATTTTATAGTATTTTGGTGACAAAAAATATGGCTTGATTTGTAAGGAAATGGAGGCAGTGGTTTCTAGGATACTGTAGTTTAAAGCATGCCATCCTGGTTATAAGCTCCTTGTCAAATCCATTTTGGTTTACATAGCACAGTGCCCTGGCACGTAGTTCACATATCTAAGGTAAGCTTACCATCTTAAGAGTTAATTTAACATACAGAAGTGTCCCTTCTAAAACTCTTGAGTTTGATTTAGTAATTCAGTTATATTGGGGTTACTGATGACTAATTCTTTTTTCATTGAAGACAGCAGCTGTGTAACTAGTGGTGCAAGTGAATAGATTTGTTATATACCTGCCTTGAACTTTTCTTGTTCTTTGATCAGCTAGATAAATGACTTGTCGAGTGGTTAAATGTTTGCCTGCAAAACCAAATTCTGACCCTGATATAAGTATTTCTAATGCACTATCACTAAAACATCAAAGTTGGCCTTCTGACTGGCATGCCGGGTTTCCTGCATGCCAGGATTGGCTCTGCAATTGAAATCTGTTTCATCTTACTAGGAAACTAAAATGATTTTGATTGGTGGAGAGTTATAGTTAGAGCTTTGGGTTCTTAGTTTTTTTAGACCTTGACCTTTCAAATTTATGATCTGATGGAGTGCTCATATGGAGCGTGAACTGAGACACTGAAGGAAAAAGTGGGCAAAACTAATGCTAAAGTTTTAGATTTGAAGCCATTGAATAGAAACTTGCCTTTGTGTCTAGAGTAATTGGTCTTGAGTCAAAAAGTAGCTGTGCATAATCTTAAGATCAGGGAGGTTTCTCTGTACTATGTACTCTATATAATTGTATAGGAATAAACCCGTGGCTTATTCCTGCCAACTCTGAATCTCATTCCTAGACAAAATGCTGTCAGGACCATTCTAGTCTTCAAGAGCTGTTATTGAATTTAGAATTGAGCTGCTTTGCTGCTAGTTCTCTCAAGGCGTAGGCATGCAGACTTAGATTTTGTCAAGTATGCTAATTGATTTTTAGTCACCGTCATCAAGTAATAGCATTATAAGGAATGCTGTACAGATTGGATCTGCTTTTTACAACTTATTTAAGTAGAAACATTTAGATGGATATCTGCAAAAGTTGGGGAGAAAACAGTCCTTTTAGAAAGGGCTATGGTAGTGTATCTCAGGATAGGGCCAAAGGAAGCTGTCAGTGTGGTTGTGGGAGAGCCACAAATGCCTTGAATTCAGTAATAAGAAAAAGTTAAATCGTGTGTAGTGCTTATGTGATTATTTATTTTGCATTTAGGAAACACATTTGCCAAATTAGGAGTTCAAAAATAGTTTCACACATTTTCAAAGAAAATCACTGCAAGCAAATAATCTGAGTGAATTCTTCAAGTTATTATATTGTAAATATTGTGCAAACTCTTGTGCTGCTGAAAGTTTTGATGTTATGCTAAGGTGCGTGAAAATTATGCACTTGCTTATGTTCTGAAGAGGATGGTTTCAGTGAGACTTGCTTGGATAGTGGGCAGAAAGCCATTTAATAATACTGTAGTTAACTCTGGCAGACATTTGTGAGTGTGTGTGCTAGAGATGAAGATGGAATTTCTGTTAACATTGATTATTAAAGTTATAGTAAGAGAAAATAAATATGGCTAGATTCCAAAGCAGCTTTTCACTACATAATTTTGTGGGTAACCTCTCATTTTAGGAAAACAACATGCTTTTACACGATAGTCTTACAAGTCTAACATGCCTTTTGTGTTTTACATCAAGCTTAACATATAAATCAGAAAAGATGTATTTCGAGAGTCATATTTCATTGGTTTGGTTATAAGGTGTATAGAAAATGCTTACTTTATACTTGGTGTTATTGGGAACCACATTCCTTCAAAGATTCCCTATATTTTAGGGAACTTTTTATCTTAAACCTGAGTGTAGGCTTGTGGGTTTTAAACTTCTTCACTTGTGATTCTAAGAAATAAATTTTGTTAAATGCTACCCAGTACACATGTATATGTGAAACTGAAACAAAATTTTCAAGAAAGTGCTTGTTATCACATATACTCTGCTGTTTTTTCTAACTAATGTTTTTGAAAGCTGATTGCAGTGCCTTAACTTGATTTCATCAACCACAGATGGATCAGGGTTCACAGATTGAAAAACATTTGTTTATCACATGTAGTTCTGTGGGTCAGGAATCTGGGAGTAGCTTAGGTGGTTCGAGGTTAGGGTCTTTCATGAGGTTGCAGTCAAGATGTCGACTGGGCTAGAGGATCTGCTTCTAAGGTGGCTCATGTTCCAGCAGGTTAGTGCTCACAGTTGGTAGGTCTCAGTTCTTTTTCTTTGGACTGCTTGAGTCTCCTTACAACTTGGTGGTGATTGGCTTTCCTCAGAGCTAGTGAACCAAGCAAGAGCTAGGAGGAAGCCACACCTAACACTACCACATGCTGTTGTTAGTTTAAAAGCAAATCATGTGATAAGTCCCGCCTGCAGCCAGGGTGATAGGTCTTAATTAAGCTCCATGTCTTGAAGGGAGAATTACCAAAGACTTTATGACATTTTAATAACCACAATGCTATATTTTTCCTGTTGGTGGATGAATTAGGATTGAACCAGAAACCTTGTTGAAGTCAATCTGTAATTATTGTCGTTAATTTATTATTTTTCCTCTGAGTGCATTTAGTCTCAATCTTAAATTTGAGAAAGCAGGCTCAAAGAAGTAAAGTAATTAACTGGCCCATTTCTCTGACTTTTGTCATGAATAATCATTCTGTGCTAATAAAGATGAGGAAATTAGCTGATTTTTAAAAAATCTTCTAAAGTTATATAATGTAAAACTGTTCTCTAGTCCAGTTTGCAAGCTGCTATATGATAGTAGTTACACTTTCAACTTGTTTGCCCTACAGGTAATGCTTGATGTCTTTAACTTTGCCAACTCCTCACACCAGCATTCCCAATTGATTTTTTTTTTTGAGGAAACAAATTAGAAATTGTACAGTTGACCCTTGAACATGGGGATTAGGGATGCTGACTCCCACACAGTCGAAAATCTAAGTATGACTTTTGACTCTACAGTTGGCCTTTTGCATCTGTGGATTCAACCAGCCTCAGATAGAAAACAGTGTATTCGATCCGTGGTTGGGAAACTGGTGTTGGGAATGCAAAAACACTGTCTTCAGTCCATGGTTGGTTGAATCCAAAGATGGTTGCTTCTGTTGATGTGAATTATGAAGCCCGTGGATACAAAGGCCTGACTATATATTGAAAAAAACCTGCGTGTAAGTGGACCCACGCTGTCCAAACCCGTGCTATTCAAGGGTCAGCTGTACTTATTAAATTCAAACTACTTATTGTTCAGTCCAGGTGCTGTCTTACCTACTGACCCCAAGATTGTATTGTGCAACTATACCAATTAGCACATTTCCAGGACCTAAAAGATGTTATAAAGATCATCAGGGTTTGAGTATAAAGAAAAACATTACAACTCTTTCTGCTGTGAAATTTTCATGTAAACTTGAGATCTAGAAGGATTTGTTCTAAGACCAGTTTTGACTTAGTGGTACAAGTTGCAGGATGAGACCCTGACATTGGTAGTGTGAGTAAAGTCATGATCACTTTCTAAGGCATTTTTTAAAAAAATCCATTAGGCTTTTCTGAGTAATAGATGGGGATACAGTAAATTACACTTTTGCTATTACAGAATTGGATAATGGCTGCTTTTTTCTTAAACTGCTTTCTGGTTTCTCTTACCACCAGGACTCCTGACAGTTCCTGTTCAGCCCTAAAGCACTGGTTGTACATACTTATTTGATTACTCTTCTTGTCATTTGTCTACCTATATATTGTATCTCCCATCCCCGCTGGAAGCTGGGACTGCCTTTTTTGTGTCCTGCTGGTACTCAAAGGCTTGCAGATTAAATTTGTAGTTGAAGGACGACCTAAGACGATAATTTTCCCACTAGAACGGAATGAAAAAATGTTTCTTGTAGAAAGCTGCTGTATGTAGGTGGTGGTTGCTGGTGGTGTATATGTTAATGACTTAAGATGCTTGTAAGATGCTAATGGGGGAGAACACAGTCAGACTTAATATACAATTGGTTCTACGCTCTACATGTGCAAAGTGCTGTGGTGATATGAATGAAGTTGATATTTAAACAATCTTGAAGGATGAGTGTTGGACAGATTTAGTTTTGTGATGTGTTTGGGGGTTGTGCATTTCTCAGCTTTATCCCAGTATACACCTACCTTGAATTGTTGTATTGTTGGTGTGTTGTCATATACTTTGATAGGTTGTTTCTTTAAGTGGCATGCACATTCTTGTATTTCTCTAGACTGTGCCGTTCAATTCAGTAGTGACTAGCCACATGTGGCCATATAAATGTCGAACATTTCCATTGTCACAGTTCTGTTGGACAGTGTTGCTCATCGGCACTTTTTCACATTATCTGTAGTATGTTGAGTTAGGAGTAGAATGAGAAAACCACATTCTGATATCATTGGTTGGTATTTACAAATAGAGGGGAGAAGAGTATAGGATATTATTACAGTGGTTAAGAATATAGGCTGTGGAGTCAGATCAGAATCATGCTCTGTTCCTTATGCTGTTTGGCTTTGGGCATATTGTTTAACCTCAGCCTCAGTTTTTTGTTTTACTCATATTGGGATATTTGCCTTGTAGGATTGTGTGAGTATAAAATAAAATGTATGCATGTAAGTGGGCTTAGCACCACTAACACCTCAGTGTGTGATAGGACCATTGACATTTTTGAATTACTAAAGTAATTTTAGAATCAGTGTAAAGTTGTGCACTTTCATATAGATATACATTTAACAAGCACCACAGTCAGTATGCAGGACAGTTCTTTCACTTCAGAAACCTCCCTCATGCTCTCCTCCAGCCCTTTTCCCCTGGCAGCCACTGATTTGTTCTTCATGGCTAGTTTTGTCTTTTCTGGCACATTATATAAATGGAATCATACAATATGTAGCCTTCTGAGACTGGCTTCTTTCACTCAGCCAAGTTGAGAGAAAGGGTCATCCAAGTTTTAACATATATCAATAGTCACCGCTGATTTTTCAAGACATTTAATTTTGAGATATTTTAAAAATTTTTATTGAAATACTTCTGAAGACAAGATGTGACGTGACTGAATTTTTACATATAGAATTGTGTTTGACTTGGAGTTTTTTATGTTTGAAAGTGAAATGATAGAAAAAAATACTTCCCTTGATTGATAACAACTGTGTGTGGATAAGCCAACTTGTTTTTCTCTTTGAAGATGGCTGATCATTGGTAGAGGAGGTTCCTGTTCTTATCTGTAGAGTTGCGGCAGAGTCCTGATTTGAAAAAGATATCTGTTTAAACATTAGTTTCTAAAATGTGGTCTGAAGATAGGATAAGCAGCTGCCTGCTTCGCCAGGTCTTTCCACATTTAGCAGTGAAAGCCCGGCTGCTCCATGAAATCTAGGATCTGAAAGGGCCACATGAAGAAAATGCAAAGATTCCAGTTAATCAGATTTCATTAATGCACTGATGGACAAGTAGTCCTACTCATCTTACTTGCTGTCAAGGTGCTTAAGAGCCAAAAATCTAAGGTAACCAGAACTCGGAACACACAGGCTGTTTATATTAAGATCAACACCTTGAATTTAAGAAATAGTGTCTTAGTGGTTTAGATTTCACTGGAATTACATCATTTTTCATTCGTTTGTTGCCCTCTGTAAGTCTTCATTTGTTGAGTTCAAGAAGTGCTCTAGTCCATCTTTTTACACTGGGAATATTTTTAAAAATTGCTGTGGTAAGCAAATTTCCAAGACGTGTAGAAGCTAAAGTAAAAGTCAAGTTTATACTTAGGATCTCTTGTTTTTCGAGTTTTCCAGTTCAGATAGGCTTGATACACGGATTGCAGGTGTGTACACAGGTACAGCAGTTTTAGGAAAGTGCTTATGTGGAACTTGAGGATCTAGAAAGCAATTCTTGAACTGTCCATGCCCACGTGCTCCTTGGGAAGTCTTCGGCACCCTTGGGGCATAGGTACCTCAGCTAGAAGACCGCCTGCTACTTGGGAACAACCCTTGTGGTGTGCTGAAACAAGACACCAGGATGTTCACCTTCGCACTGTCAGAGCAAATATATAAAAGTCATCAGTAAAGATCAGTGTGTAGTCTCTTGGAATGCTGTGTAGCAGGTAAACAAGTTGCAGAACGACAGTGTCCCAATTTTGAACAGAGTAATTCTCTGTTCATGGGTATGTATAGAAAAAAAATTTTAATTCATTGTGGCGGAGAGGGTAGTGTTTTTGTGTAAAAACAAGGCAAACGAAGATAACAAGGACATTACTTTTTTAAAAAAATGTTAAAGTCTTTGTACTTGGTATTTTTTAATTTCCCTAAAGTATGTATGAAACAGCTTTTTCTGAGAACTTTAACTTGGTAGTGAAAAGGGAGGGGAAGTATTAAATTAATGAAAGGCCACTGAGCTGTCAAACTCAGTTATGCATGCTATCTAAAATAGGTTCATAAAATTTCTGCCATCAAATACCTGTCTTGTTTTGTATATTTCAACCCTTCTGAGTTGGTGTATGGTTCTCTTAGCCAGGATCATGATTGGAATTCCCTGGGGATAGGTTAGGTGCAGTGTCTAAATCTAAGTCTTTGACTTTAATTAGTATCTTTGCCTGGGTCTCCTAGATGCTAAGCTTATCCAAAGTTCTTTAAAATAAACATTTTCCTTCCAAATTGCCTATTACAGACCCAAACATCAGATTCTTCATAATTTTTATTTAAGCAGCAGCACATTTAGGAATTGATCATTGATTTAAAAAAATTAAATACCTATTAAATAAGAGATTTCCCCCAATAGTGAGCATTTATCTTTGATTGTAGAACTTGAATATCTCTTGAAATGATACTTTTCCTTTGGTCATCATTTGATTAGAAAAAATACTCGTCCCAGCTCAAACATTACCTTAGGATGATAAAAAGTGAGAATTATTAATTTCATGGTGAATCACTGGTATAAACTAATTGATTTCCAAGGTTCTGATTAATGAATTCTCTTGAAGTAAAAGTAAATATTTGGTTTTCTCACATGGCAAGCTGCACATCTGAGGCACGGGTACTTGCTGTCGGGCTGTACATTTTAAATTTACAGCCAGAACTTTCTCTAAATGCCATCTTTAAAAATGTGGAACTTTTTGAAAAATCACATTTGCAGAATATTACCATGGTCACTTGAAACTTAACCTAACATGCTCTCTCTCGCTACCATTTTCTGTGTCGTTATCTTTATTTTCATTAAAAAGCTGTTTTTACCTCGATGGTGATGAGGATGACAATCATCCACTCCAGGCGGAGCGCCCTTTTCTCTGTCAAGTGATTCCGCATTAGATCTGTGAGCTCCATGCAGTGCTGAAGTTTTTCATTCATGACCTGTATTAGAAAAATATTAGAAAGTATCCTGTATTTATATTTAATCAGATTTAGTTAAAATAAGTTAACATGGTCACATGCTTCAGAATTCTAAAGGTTTAAAATATACGTGAAAAATCATCCCTTCAATTTTTGCTGCTCAGTCCTCTCCCCAAAGGCAATCTAGAGACATTTTGTAATGCACAGATTTAACTGTTACAATACTTAGCATACCAGAGCTCACATTTGTAAGATTTTGATGGAAGATCTAAAAATAGAGCTTTTGAGTTCAAGTTTTTGGTGGCTGTCCTCGGATTTTTAGCAGTTAAGAAAGGCAGTGGCTTTAAGATAAAAACAATGATTACCTTCTAAAACTTAGGTCTCACCGTCAAAAACCAAACACAAGCATGACCTGCTGCTTGTGTTTGGTTTTTGACGTGAGACCTAAGTTTTAGAAGGTAATCATTGTTTTTATCTTAAAGCCACCACACACCACTAGGTGGCTCTGCTTTTATTGCTGAACTGCAGGGGTTCTCCCTCACAAGCTAGTTGAGAGGGTCCACAGAACACAGAATCTGGATTTAAGACTTTGATATGACCACTGGCAAATTCTACCTCCTTCATCTCTCTGCATCTCTCTCTCTCAGAATTGGAAAGTCTGGAAACATTTGTAAAAGTAATCTGATTCCCTTTGATTACTTATGGGGTATGCTGAGGGTACGGCTTTGGTCAGTGGAAATTTGAGGCAAATCACAGATGCATGTTTGGGGTTTGACTGAAATGTGTTAGTGCACCGTATTATGATTTTGCACAGAGCATTTAACAGCCTTGCTAATTACAACACATGGAACCACACTGATAGCATATATTTGCCCATGTTTCCAGACTTTATGGTCACCTTGTAGTTTCTGTATAGTTTATGGATAAATGTTTAGAACAGTGCTTCCCGCCCACCCCCAGCTTTCTTCCTGTTTTTGTTGGCTGCTTGTTCTTGGTCTAGGTGCTGCTCATCCAAAGGTACCTTAAACTTGCATCTACAAAATGCCCAACCCTCTTCCATTTTCTTCCTCTGCTTCCTCATTGTCCAATTTATTCCTTAGCCCTTACAAGTTGTATATATTACCACACTCCCCTTGACACTTCCAAATGTCTTCTGATAGGAAATCTACCAGCTTTTCCTGGTTAGATTCCAAACCTCAGTTACTTGAGCGTTTGACAACACCTAGAAATGCAGGCTTCCGTTAGCTACTCCCTCCTCAAGGACTGTTCTACCTCTGACCACTGTTTTTCTGAGTCTTCTATACTACATCTTGCCTTTAGATGACATTTCCCAAAGCCCTGATGTTGTCCTCGTCCTCTAGCTCTGCACTCTCCTTCCGCGATTGTACCTGCTTTGGGGTATGTAGCTGCTTCCTAAACTTCAGCCATTTCCAGCCCACCCTTGCTATTTCTGTGATATATGCGCCAACTGTACTATTTAAATTCCAAAAGATTTTACTTAGAAATGTTTATTTTGAATAGAAACTATATAGCCATAAATCGAAAACCCGTATGATGTGAGTGCGGCCTACGCAAAGCTGAGCCTGACACCTGTGGAAATGGGAGAGTAGCATATGATCGTGGGCCGGGCAAGATCCGCTAGAACCAAACTACGTCTTTCAACTCAGTTGCTCAAATGTTATTTCAGGGTCTTTGTGTCACATAAGTTCAACTCTTGTGCAAGTGTATGTATTCACACTGTCTTCTCAGTCACCCAGGTTATTTTTATCATGGTTAATGAAATCCTGTAAGTTTTAGGTGCACGATGCATCAGGAAGGCACATATTGCACTGTGTCACATGCCTTTGATCTTTGATCCCCAATCCCTACAATAAATCCTGGGCTGTAAGAGTCTGGAATCTGTCCTATGTTTATCATGTCTTAATACTACCTGGTAGGCCTTCGTCAACTATTCATTACCTCCAAAAACGGTTTTGTTTTTTTTTTTGGTGATGGGTCCATTTTTTTTACACTGGCATCATTTCTCATACTAAATAGGATGGATCATGTCACTCCTCTACTCAGAAGCTTTAAACATCTTACCCATTGCCTTCTTCATAACATACAATTCTAGGTCATTTAGTCCAATCACTTTAGATGGTGGCATCCCCTTCGATCTTGAAGGCGCGGTCTTTGTGAAACCTTCCCAAGCTCCTGCCCCTTCCCCCAGTTCTCCTACAGCCCTGGTGGTTGCCCTATTATTTAGTTAGCACTTACTTCGTTCTGCCTCTCGCAGTAATCTGTTGTCTGCCCAGCACTCTCATCTCCTGTACCCCCTTTTACAAAGTTATACTCTATTTCCAACCTCATGATGCTGTCAGTCATGGTATCAGCATCTACCTGACACCGTCCCCACCCCTCCCCTTAAGCGGGTATAAGATTCAGGCTTGGCCAGGCATAATGCCTAGTTCCCTCATCACGTGGCTGCCCAAAGCTTAGACGCATGTCTCAGTTCTTTGACGTTGCCATGCACACTGAAATGTAAGCCTGGATATTCCCTCGTCCCAATCCCTTCTCATCTCGTAGAGAATGCTGCCGACAAGGAAAGAATGAGGCCAGACTGGCACGAGATGCTGAGTAGAGAAACAGTTCTGATGACCCGTTTGGGACTGCAGCACGCACTCCCTGTTCCCACACTCTACTCCTATCATGTTTAAGCAGGAAGAGTCCCCTCTAATGCAGAGTCATGCATGTTACTTGCACACAGATGAGGGAACAGGTGAAAACATGTCACAGGTGATAAGTGTAGGGATAAACAGGCAAGTGCCAAGAAGAAAAGGTGAGGCGCCATGGGGAAGGGGCTGAGGAGAGAACATTTCAAGCAGAGGAAACAACGTAGAGGCAAGTGGGGCTAGAGAGAGGAAAACCTGGAAGGAAGTGCTTAGGAAGTGAGGTGACAAAGGTGAGCTGGTACCAAACTGAGAGGGACTGTGGACCATAAGCTGTAGGGAGAATGACGGTCTCCCCAAGGATATTCCCATCCTAATCCCTGGGACCTGTGAATATGACATGGCAAAGGAGAATTAAGATTGTATAGGAGTTAAGGTCAATAATCAGCTGATCTTAGGATAAGGAGAATCACAGATCATCTGGGTGGACCCAGTGTAATCACAGGGGTCCTTGGAAGTGACAGTGGCAGGCAGGAGAGCTCAGTAACAACGTGAAGAGTCAACTCGCCTTCGCTAGATGGAAGAAGGGACTATGAGCCAAGGAATGTGGATGGCTTCTAGGAGCTGGAAAAGGTGGGGAAACATCCTACCTAGAACCCTCAGAAAGAAATGCAGCCCTGGCAACAGCTTGATTTTAGCTTGACTCCCACGTCAGACTTCTGACCTAAAGAACTAAGAATATGTTGCGTTAGGCCAGTTTGTGGTAATTTGTTACAGCAGCAATAGAAAACTAGCACCCTGCTGTAATGCTGGAACTTTATTCTTCAGGAAATGGGGAGTCCTTTGGTTTTCACATATTTAATAATTACTATACTGTGCTGGGCAGAGTAGATGGGATGGCGAATAAGAGAAACATATCTTGCCTTCTTGCTAAAGGGTTTAGAGGCTGGGAGACAGTGCAGAAGGTGACAGAATAGTCCAGGTGAGGGGGGAGAGAATAGCAGGGATTCGTGTTAGTAGTCAGGGGCTTGAAGGCAGGGGTCAGTATGGTATCCCTCCCTGCTTCACCAGCCCAGGGTCTACCATAGCCTTCCAATAAATATTTGTCAGTGAGTGAAAGACATTTAAGAAGAAAATGTAAAGACTGACTGGACATGGAGGGTGAAGTAAGAAGAAGAAATGACGAGCGTCACGTTTCTAGCGACCTGGTGAGATGGTGGAGGCTAGGTGGTCGGTCCTGCCATAGCTGAAATGCAGCAGGTTCAGCACTTGCTGGGAGAACACAAATCTTATTGATTCTACAAATATTTACTGAGCACATAACTCTGAGGGCTCTGCCAAGAAATGGAAAGACGGTCTCTGATGTCGTGAAGCCTGCATTCTAGTGGCGAGTGACGTACTTAATTCTAAGGATGTGGGATACGACAATGTGGGAGGTCTGATTTGGTAGGCCAGTGGAAGCACCGGGAAGGCAAACTTCTGAGTTTAGAGATACATATTTGAAAATTATCATGAAAAGCTGGGCGAAGTTATGAAAACGAACGAGACTGCTCATGGCGCAGGCAGCATGGGAGGAGAATCAGTGATAGTCGTGGAGGACAGTGACCAGAGACAGTGGAGCGAGGGGCCCGCTGTTAACGTTTCTGTCCCTACCACACTGCCATAGCTACTCTGGTCTCAGTGATCTCTTAATTACCAAAGGAAATGACTTGACCTCCATCCTCAACTTTTTGGACTCTTTCTCAGAACATCTCACACCTAATCTATTTTAACATCTTTCCTCTAGGAAAAATAAATAAAACAAGGAACAACTTTCTCCTGGCACTACCACCAATCTCTTTTTGTTCTGTATGTCCTCTTGTAGGGCTGTAAAGCCGCTGAAGGTCAAGACCAGTTCAAATTTTTCTTTTGTATTTTCCATAGTGCTGGCATTGGGGTGAGCATAGTTAAGGGAGGCTGAATTCTTTCAGCTTTCTTTTAAATAATCCTCACATGATCCAACTAGTCTTACATCCCTTTGGGATGCTAAGAAAATACTCTTGAGAAATGTAGGTTTGGAAACACTCTGCTTCATAACTCATGTGGAAGATTTAAAACCAAAGAGATGTCTAGAGAGAGGCTGGGGAATGAGCTGTATGACTGAATCAAGCCAAGTAGATGACAACGGTGAAAAGAACAAGGCACCTCTGATACTGAGAAGACACATTCAGTGGAATGTGAGCAGAGTTCCATGAACTGTTAGTTGCCAGGGGAATTTTGATGAGTAGAAGTTACGTAGTTGTTACATAGGTTTCAGATACAAAATATACAAAGTGAAGTGTAGTTCAAAGCTACGTGGCCATAATGCTCAGCTGCATTTACCTACTATAGGTCCAGATCCATAGACCTTGCTTTAGGGCCCACAAGCCGAGACATCCCTTTGCCTCTGAGACACCCATCATATATTTAGGGGGAAAGTATCACTTTTGCTGCTGAGTTTTAAGGAAGGAGAAGGGGAATCCCACAAGTATAGCTCCAATTTCATATAAGTCCCTTTCCTCCCTCCCCTGATACTTCTACTTTTAGCGACCTTGTCCTAGTTCCTAACACAGAACCCAATAAGGGTATGGTAGAAATGTGTATAACTTATAAAGATAATTTAAATGAGCTTTGAATTTCAGCTCCTAAAGGAAAATTAGAGTGGATATTCAGGGAATACTGGTATTATGGAATAAAGCTTTTCTCATATTTTCTTCTTGAAGTTTTATAATTTTAGCTTTTATATTAGGTCTCTGATTAATTTTAAAATGCTGTGAAGGATAGGATTCATTTTTTTATATATGGCTGTCCAGTTCTAGCACCATTTGTTGAAAAGACTGTCCCCTTGTTTTGAGTTAATATACATCTGTCACAAATGAATTGCCTATATGTGTACAAATGTATTTCTGGGCTCTGTTCCATTAATCTCTGTGTCTATTCTTATGCCAATTTCAAATGTCTTGATTACTGTAGTTTGAATTATTGCAAGGCAAGTCTTAAAATCAGATAATAAAAGTCTTCCAACTTTGTCCTTGTCTCAAAATTGCTTTGGCTAATCTAAGCCCCTTGCATTTCCATTTTAAAATCAGCTTCTCAGTTCTAAAATAAAAGTCTGCTGGGATTTTGACTGGGATTGAGTTGAACCTATAGTTCAATTTCTGGGAGAAGTAACACTGAAACTTCTACAAACGTGGTATGTGTCTTCATTTAATTTTTCAGCAAGGTTTTCTAGTTTTCAGGGTACAAGTTTTACTTTGAATTTAAGAAAAATCATTCCTAAGTAATTTAAGTTTTTGATGCTATTATGTTATTTTAAAAATTCACTTTTCAATTGTTCATGGATGGTATAAAGAAAAAATTTTTGTATGTTGGCTTAGCATCTTACGACTTTGATAAATTCACTTATTAGTTCCAGTAGCTGCTTAGCAGATTTTTTAGGGTGTTCTACATATGAGATCAGGTTGTCTGTGAATGAATTCAGTTTCACTTCCCATAGGTGTTAAATCTTGGGGCTACAGAGAGCCACCCACAGGGACTGGTGCCGAGTCTAGGTGGCTTTCTCCATAGGTCTAGGGTGCCAGAGACTAGGTCAGTATAGGCTTCTTCCAGCCGCTAATGTGTGACGGGTATGGATATCAAACCCTTTGTCAAGGGACTCAACTTAAAATTGGTCTCGACAACTGGAAAAAAGAGTACACTCAGCATACTGCAAGTTGGGGTGGGGCCTGCCAAAGCCCCCTGTTCTCACTGATATCTTTCTTTTGCTTGCAGTTGATTTTAGCCATGAAACAGCTGACGGTTTGGTTGTCGAGGTCTAATTTACTCGAGGAGGTATTCTCAGTTGTAGACTTGACGCCAATAATTCTATCTTGAACAACAAGGACAGATAAAGGCCACTTCCCAGGTCAAAGATCAGAACAATTCTTTTGACATCAACTTTGGCCAGGCCAAGTGGCATGGCAGTTGGCTCACTGACAGTTATGAATACAATGAGACCAGCAGTGGTGGCAGTGACTTTGGTGGCCTGAAGCTGGGAATTATTAGAATGACAGGAGTATGAGGGTGATGTGTGTCACAGTGATTACAAAGCAGGCTTCTAAAATTTTCTCCGCTTGTTTCAAAACCTGAAGTCTGCATTAGGTGGACTTCTAATATGCCACCTAAAGATCTTCACCTCCTGATAGTCACACTATTGTGTAATCCCCTCTCTTGGACTGTGGGCCAGGACTAGTGACCTGTTGCTAACAAAATAATACAGCAAAAGTGAAGGGATGTCATTACTGCTGTGATTTGGTTACAAAAGACTGGCTGCATACCCTCTCCCTCCTTCCCCACCTCTCGTTCTCTCTCTCGCTCAGCCTGATGAAGCAAGCTGCCAAGCTGTGAGATGCTCTATAGAGAAGCCTATGTGGCAAGGAACTGAGGGAGGCATCTGGCCAAGAGCCTGAGGCAGTGAATCTAATCAGCAAACCGCATGAGTGAACTAGGAAGTGGACCTTCCCTAGCTGATCCTTGAGATGACTGCAGTCTTGTGAGAGAGCCGGAGGACCCAGCTAAGCCGTAACTAGATTCCTGACCCACAAAAAAAGATAAGAGGTGGTGTTTTAAGCCACTAAGTTGTGGGGCAATTTGTTTCATAGTGATAGCTAACTAATACAACCATAGGAGACAGCTCATGTGTATATAAAGCTTTTAGTATCCCCTCTTTCATACCCCCTGGATCTTCAGTCTGTGTACACAGTCCACACCCATAGAAGTCCAGTGCTTTTCATGTCTGATTCAACAACTGATTTGACAAGCAATTGTCAAGTCTGTCTAATTAGACATTTAAGAATCTAAAACTGTTGAAGTCCACTGCAATTTGATTCTTCCAGTATCACTGATCAGGAACATAACTGTTTAGCCAATTAGGAAAACTGGAGGCATTAAAATTAGTTGGAGAGAATGAGAAAAGACACTCAATAGACACTAACTTGAAAGAATGAGGTGTTGGAATTAGATGTTGGAATTATCTGACAAGGATTTTAAAATGGCCATCATAAAAATGCTTTAAAAAGCAATCACGAACCACTTTAAACAAATGAACAAAGTCTCAACAAAGAAACAGAAAACATAAAGAAGAACCGTGAAAATTTCAGAACTGAAAAGTACAATAAACAATAACTCAGTGATGGGCTCAACAGCAGAGTGAAGGTAACAGAGGAAACAACCAGTAAACTTGAAGACAACAGTGAAAATTACCCAATACGAACAACAGAAAAATCACGAGAAAAAGTGAACAGGGTGTCAGAGACTGGTGTGAGTGTAAGAAAAGACCTGACACTCATGTCACAGAATGAGAGCAGATTTTTTCATCAGAAACCATGGCACCCACAAGAAAGCAGCATAGCATTTTTTAGGTGATGAAAGAAAATGACTCAGAATCTTATATGTAGTGAAGTATCTTTCAGGAATGAAAACCAGACATTCTCAGATGAATACGAGAATGTTTTTACAGACCTACCCTAAAAGAATGGCTAAAGAACATTCTTGAAACAACGGAAACTGAAAGAAGAAATCTTGGAACGTCATGAAGGAAAAAAAGAATAAAAATATGGGTAAACGCAACAGGGTTTCCTTCTCTTTTCTAAATTATGTTTGATGGTTGAAGCAAAACTTATAACACTGATGGAGTTCTCAATGTCTGCAGAAGAATAGTTAAGACAGTTTTATTGTAAATACCAGAAGGTATAGGGATGTAAAGGGAAGTAAGGTCTATATACTTGATTTAATCTGGTAAAATGTTGAAACCAATATACTGTGGTGAGTAAATCTATGTATAATAGGGTACCTAGAGCGACCAGTAAATATATATCAAAAAGATATACTCAAAAACAGTATAGATTAAGTCAGTACGGAATTCCAAAAGACTATTTGTAACCCACAAGGAGGCAGGGATTGATATATGTAACAGCTCGGATCTCAAGGGCATTGTGCTCAATGAAAAACGGCGTTTTAAAACTCACACCGTATGATTCTATTTATATAGAGTTCTCCAAATGACAGAATTACAGAGATGGAGAAGAGATTACTCATTGCCAGGGGTTGGGGAGGTGGGGGAAGGGAAGGTGCTATGACTAAGGGAGCGGCACAAGGAAGTCTTTGTGATGACAGCAGTTCTGTATCTCCATCGTGTGGTTACACTGATCTACACATGATAAAATACCACAAAACTATGCACACACATCGTACTAATGTCCACTTTGTTTTCGACTCTCTCATGTGGTTTACTTCCATCACCATGGCCACCTCCACCCACTTCACCATGCCACTGATACAGATGTCTCTCTTCTCAACTTTACTTCTACACTAAGTGCCTGCATGACAGTTCTAACTGGGTGCCTTCTTGCCACTCCACTCTAGACATATCTTAAATTTAGCTCCTCACTTCCTCCTGGCCCCACCTCTCTGTTTCGCCGTCCTTCTCCCCGCCCCCCTTAGGCAAGCACCAGTCATCCTTACTCTTCCCTCCCTTGGCCCCCCATTACCAAGTACTTGATTTATCTTAGAGGATTCTTTTTTATGTTCATTTCTATTCTCACTGTCTCCATTATAGTTCCAGACCCCATGAACTCTTGCTTGGAACCCTATAGGCCACTGAGCCTCAAAACTCTCACCAGTCTTACCTAGTCTGTAAAGCAAATATCAGAATACCCTTTGATGCAATAAGTTGAAAATTATGTACAGGACAAGAAGAGAAGAGAAATCGAGAGATCTGAACAGATGTCAAATAAGATATTTCTCCAAAAGCAGTTAAATTACATTTACTTAATTTAGAATTTCTCTCCACGTAGTTATACAAATTGTAGGCAACGCGTTTTTCTCGGTAAAAGTACAAAATACATACCTTAACTCTACGAGTAATGCTTAAGAACTGACATGTTTTATCATAAAGTTCTTCCAGGTTTTCTCTGTCCCAGTAGAAATCAGGAGTGATCAAGAAGTCTGAGCTCAAGTTGATACGGTGTCTTAAAAAAAGGAAAAGTATAACTTTATTTTCTATCTTGAATTAATCATGGCATCTATTATATTTTTTATTTACATGGTGCTTTATGACAGTGTTTAATGTTGACCATTGTAATACATCTAAGAAATAAATAAAAAATTTGTAAGCATTTAAAAATTTGTAACCAAATTAATTCAATCTTTAATGTTATTTATGAAGTAGTTTGAAAACAAAATGAGCTTTCTATTTCTAAACTTTTATTTTTTCATGAAAAATTTTACAATATACACAAACATTTATTTTTGTGGATAGGTAATCACATGGCTCAAAAAGAAAAAGGTAAAAATTGACCAGTCTTATTCCCATCTTTCCCTTTCTCCTACCCCGCCTGCCCCCCGCCATGGGTAACCAACGCTAGTTTCTTCTGTAGCCTTCCAGTGTTTATGCAAACACTGGACAAGCACAAATAGATACACATATAATCACTCTCTCTGTTAATCTTTTTTTTTTTTTTTAAACATAAGAGGTGTAAGCCTACTTTTAAATGGACACTTAAGCTGTAGAAGTAACATATAAATAACTGTTCACTATAAAAAAGGAAATAATACCCTGGAGAAGATTTAAGAAAACAGTGGTGGGCCCTCGGTTACCCTAACACACAACTGGAATCCTTTAGGTCCTATAAACACTTTGCTGTGTCCTTCCAGATCTTTTTCTGTGCATACATGCATGTGTGTGTACACACATACGTGTAGTATATACGTATACCAAGATAAATATGAATATTTTTGTTTACACAAATGCAATCATACCATATATAATTTGACTTTTTTTCACCTAATGCAACTTGCCATGTTTTTATTCATAGATTTACCCAATTCATTTTAATAATATATAAGCACTTTTATTGTAAAGAAACTTAGGATAAGAACAGTAAGACTCTACAGAAATTATTCACAAACCTAAGTATATTTAGTCCTAACTTCTGAGTTTTGAGAATATAATTTGCTATATGAAATTCTGCTTGTATTACCAAGAGAAGAGGAGAGAAGAATCTCTCTACTCCACTTCTCAGTGAACTCAAGGCTTAAATCTGCGGGATGCTCCTAGTGAATGGGGTTTTTACTTTTGTCGGTACCCTGAATTTGAGCTATGAGAAATGCATAGATGATGAAACACTGGACCACTTCTCTCCAGGCCAAGTATCTAAGGAGAATGTGGAAAAACAACTCGTAGGTAAACTACTCAAAACAAACTCTAGTAAACTCATCCCATATACTGGAGGGGACTGAAACAGTGAACGAGGCTGCCTAGTGAGAATAATGCCAAGATTCAAGATTTCACCCCATAAATCTTGGACAAATGACAAGAATAAAATAAACTGAAATCTTTTCAGGCATTTATTTAAAATTATGCATTTCTGTTTCATCAATTTTAAGACACAGCTCTTATCATTTTAACATCTCTGAAAATGGGAGGCATCTTTAAAACTGATACAGTGGCGGTTGTGACTTAGTTATCATTATCTTAATTTATTTCCCTTATGCTTCCCTTTTTATGTATGCCCAAGAGGGAATGTGATAGGGTCTGCATCCAAATAAGGTTAAAAGAGCTATTTCAGTTCTGATCAAAAAGAACTGTATCATAGTTTAATGGGCAGCATTTCTTCTCTCCTGTGGCATCTCATGGTGTCTCAGTCAATGAAATGCGGTACATAACCTTCCTGTAACAATTAGGTCTAGTTGGCATTATGATGCAGTGATATATTTTTACCGAGAATTCCCATTATCCAAATTCAAGAATGTATCTACCTTCAAAGAATATCGCAGAAGGTTTAATGTAAATTAATTATTTCTTTTGCACATGCAGAATTTCTTCCAGTATAGTCCTAATACAGCCCAACTGTTTCTAGTGGGTACGAGTTCTCCATGCTTGTACAGAATAAAATAAAAACAGCGGGAAGTCCCATAAAGGTACAAATGTTGGCTCCTTACTACAGAACTATAAGAATGTTTTCTTGAGATGGTTAAATATGTGAAATATTTTATTTACAGAGGGAAATTTTACCTTAGGGCAAAGAGTTCACCCATTTTCTGCATCACTTCTTCATGAGACAGTTTCACTTTCTTCCCAGCTTTTAAAGCCTATTTTGGAGGAGAAATAATACAGATAGATACACACATATCCAATAAGTAACAGGACCATAAAGCATGTTCTGAAGCAGCACAATTTTAATCCAATGGAAATGATACTTCTTGGAAGATATCTCCTAGTCATCTTACTCTTAGATAATAAATTAAAAATAAATAAACACAATCTTATTAGGTAGAAATTTTATATTCTATTTCCATTTTCCTTATCACCAGCATTTTCTATGATGTACGTTCCTAATCTCTTATTAAAAATTCAGGTCTTCTTTCTCTGAGATAATTAGATTATTCTTTCCCAGTTAAAAAATTATAGTAATCATGATTTTTAATGCATTTTGGAAATTTTGATATAACCTCATTTTTTTCATGCCACAATTTTTTCATAATTTAGCAAAATACTTTAATCAAGAAAAGTATAATTTCCTTCCTTAGAGAAGAAACACTTTACTTTTTGTCTTTAATTCAGTTACATTAAAAATATTGCATCATCGGAGAAGAGTAATTTGAATTTTAAGTTTTAAAAAGTAAAAAATAAGTTTCTGATTTATATGTAATGAGGGATTCCTTTTTTTGTTTAAATTCAGTAGATTTCTTAGTGTTTATTACTTTATTGTACTCCTAAACATAGTGGGAAATCTGTTTGTTTCCCAAATAGAAATCAATCCTTGAAAACAAGCAAAACTGGTATAATTACCTCTGGAATTGACTGAATCGATTCAACAAATTTATCCAATGATGCTTCCCAAATAGCCAGTTTCACTGGGGAAAAAAATCACAATGGAACATTTCTTTATCATCATATTCATGTTTATATAAAACACATTAGTGCACAGTACCCTCACTGCCATTCCAACAATACCTTCAGCAGCAAATGTACTAAAAACCTGAAAATAAAGTTCATTACAAAGGACAGCACTAAAGTGGATAAAGATAGAAGAAATGAAGTAGATTTCCCAGCCCTGCTGGCAGGCTGACACTATACTTGGAGTTCCTGGTTTTCTAATATTGTGTCTCAGAAACCCAGAGAGTGTAAGAACACCCTGGAACGAAGGCTGGCTCACTCTGCTTTCCCTCACACTCCTCGGGACGGAGTACAGCGCAGAAGTCCTTGAGCCTCCCAGAGTGTGGGAGGGAAAGGCCACGGCAGCAGGAGCCGTGTAGACTGACAGCAAAAAAATTCTTAGAGAACATCTACAGTTTTATTCAGGTGCACAGACCTTTTAGAAAAACTTAGAGCCACTGTGACTCTCATTTCTGTGAAAAACCAGAGTGTATTTTTCTACACTGAGGCCTGTGCCAATGACATAGGCTGAGCTTTCTTTGGGTTAGAGACAACTTAAGAATCACCACATAAAGAGAAGGAAAGAAAAATAAAGGTAATAATGATATAAAAATATTTTTGAAGAGGGTAACCTTTGTCAACACAATAAGGAATGAGTAGCTTCAGCAGATACTATATTTTATACTCTATATTTTTTTTCTCTTGGAGAAAAAGGAAAAGGAATGTTAAAACTCTGCTGAATATTCTGTGAACACATGCCAAAATCTTTACCAAATACTTAAATTTACCTTGATGAAATGAAAACTATGTAATACTTTATCTGATAAGTAATATTAACTTACCTGAAAGGCAAAGAGCATTTGAGAAAGCAAATTTCTCTAGAATGGCGTCATCTAAATCTAGCTCTGAATTTAACCTGATTTCCCCTCTGTGAAGTTTTGACGGCCCCCTGTAAAAAGGGAAAAAAAGGGATCTTCTAAATCATGAAAAGCACTTTTTTCTTTGGAAAGAAGTCATAATCTCTCTAGGTCATTTTGGAAATTTGTATCAAGAGTATTACAAATGTTTTAAACCTTTTGATACAAGTAATTCCACTTTTAGAAATCTATCCTAAAGAAATAAAATATGCAAAGATTTATGTACAAAAAACTTTATGGTCAAATGCTTAATAGTAAAAAATTAGGAAAGAGACTAAATGTTCAATAGGAGAATGGTTCTATATAAGTATAGTAATTCCACACAACAAAAAATAAAAAGTATGTTTTGGAAAGATATTTAATGGAAAGGGAAAAAAATCACCAGAAATTGCTAAGTGAAAAAATATTTAACATAAATTATATACACAGTGTAATCTAAAATCACAGGGACATGGTGGGGGTGGGAAGGGAGATGAGAAGCTGTGAAAAACTATGGTATACATCTAGAAAACTCTGGAAGAGACTGGGAAGATGGGGAAAAGGAAGGAATTTGGGAGTATAAACATCACAAGGAAACAGGAAAAATACAGGGTAAATCTTCCCAAAAGACATGAAACAAGAAGATATGGACACAGCTGGAGGACAAGGAGGCCTAACGGGAGGGTGGAGAGGCAGGGTCTGCCCGGACCACCTCAGGTGGAGGGAAAAAAGAAAAGTCAGAAAAAAGAGAGCAGCGTCGACAAGATGCTTTATAAATAAGCTTGGCTCACGCATAGAATTGAGTACAGCAGCACACACCTGGAATCTTAGGCAGGACTCACAAAACCACCACGTTGGTGGTTGCTAAGAAAGTCTGTCTGAAGATAAACCAAATCACTGAGTCTGGGTCCAGAGAGTAAGGACTGTACACCTCAGACTGACAGGCAGGGAGTACGCGGCGGGTGTGTCTATGTCCGTGGGTGCGGGGAGCACCTAGTAACAGTGTGATGTGGAGGTAGAACACAAAAGGGGAATTCACAGGAACTGTAACCACAAGGCCAAGTGCTCAATAATTAAGAAGATTCTATTAGCTCCTCATTTGCTGCATCTCTCAGGTTCACACCCCCACTGTCCACTGCACCCACTATGGTGGGCCTAGGACCTCACTGACTACTCAGGTGCCCTGGGCAACACAATATCTCTATCTCCTCTGAAAGCCAGTTAACTACAGTTGGAGAGTTTCTGCCAGGATTCAGTGAAATGATGTACGAGAAGCACTTGGAACGGAGCCTGGCACAGAGTGAGTAGGGACTCTCTGTTGGCTATTATTACTTATCTCTTATCCCATCTGGTCTTTCTATGGCTTGTGTCTCTTCCAAATGTCCCCAAGCTCCACTTTCATCACTTCCCTTCTTAATTCAAACACTTTTTCCTGTTCCACTAGACAAGTAACTCCATAAGGAAAAAGATCTTTCGATCTGTTCTTGCTACCTTCTCTTTCTGCCCTGACATCTCTCTTCATTTTTAATCCCATTGCTGAGTCAGGAATCAGCTAGCAGGTTGTCCACCCATATATCTTACCTGAGAATAGTCTGTCAGGAACCCATTTCTACAGGCGGTTCTCTTAGATCACCCCCTTACTGTACCCCAAATTGATAGGGAAGAAGTGGATTTACTCAAGAGAAAACTTTACTAGAACAATTTGATAGGTTCATTCTGATGAAGGCATACTATTTTACTTGATTTAGGCTGCCCAGGAAACTTACCATTTTGGGGTTATACTATCTACTTGTTTTAATTTATGGGTAGCCTGAGAAGGTTAAAAAATAATGTCTATCCACTAATATTTATCATATTGTTTAGGCTTTACTTTTGTATCAATAACTTTTTTTCTTAAAATTAGTCTCCAAATTCATAAGTCATTTATCCCCTCTACTGCTTTACTTTGCTATTCCAAGGGCCCTTTCCAAAAATTTGATAAATGTTGCTTACTCTGTTTTTATGTAGTTAAGCTCTTCATTTTCCCAGTGTACCAATGCAATCTCATAGGGCTGAATTTCATGTTTTTCTAGAACTTGCATCACTTGCTTCATCTAAAAGAAATATTATACTAAAATTATACTTGACTCCTTCAGTACAGAAGTATGTTACAGTGTTAATGCTTGTAACATTTTCATTACATTTGGTGACATGTTTTTCTGTTTAGTTTTTAAGGAAAAAGCAAACTCATCGTGATAGTAAACTCATTAGAAGATATATTCATTTGTCTTTACATTTGGAAAACACAGGTGAACTTTAAGAAAAAAATATTATTATCCTACAGCTCAAAGAAAACCACTGGTAGAGTTATGGTTTGGATTCTTTAAATCTTTTAAAAAATGTATAAGTATTCAAAAAATTTAAACAACACAGAGGTATAAAAAGTGACAATCTCCCTCTGCTTCCCTGAACTCCTAATCCCCAAAGCTAACGATTAAACCTGGTGCACAGCCTCCCAGGCTTTTTTCCCATAATAAATGTGTACGCGTGTACATTTATTTTGCTTATTATATGAAACGGGATCATACTGTGCATGTGAACATTTTCAAGGCTACTCTCCTTAATGCAGGAGCTGCAATTTATTTATCATCCTAAATGTCCATCCATGGGGGAGGATTTCTATACTCTACCATCACAAGGTCGCAATGCGTCTATCTTCCTGGCCTTGCGGGGATATTTCTTTAGGAACTGCTAGATCAAAAGACATGCACACTTATAATTTTGATAAATATTGCTAAACTGCTGTCCCAGTTTTCCCAATTTTAAAATCCAAACATTTATAAGAATATTCTTTAAAAATTATTTTTTAAAAAAGGTATTATCAGCTTTTTACACATTTGCCACTTAAAATAGCCAATTTGTATTACATTTTTCTTATATTTGTTGGTCATTTATATTTCCTTTTTTTTTTTGTTTCAGGAAACCCCTCCTCCTGTGTGTGTTTCCTCTTAGTAAAAGATGGTTTATTTTTTTAACCAGCTTTGATATTATTATATTAGTTATATTTTGTAACCTGCTCTTTTAATTTAACCATATCATATACACAGGCAATTTTCTAGGAATAGATATTTTTCCACATGATTTTTGAGAGCTGTAGTATTCTATCCTATGGATATATTTAACAGACTTCCTACTATTATTTATTTTGATTACTTCTCATTTTAGCTATTGTAAATAATGCACTGATGAATCTGTACAGCAATCATCATATATAACTAATTATTTTCTTTGGATAACATTCTAGATATAAAAATGCTGAGTTAAATATAAAGCTTTGATGTGTATTATCAAAGTGCTTCTAAAAAGGCTATATTAAACACATCCTGATTGGGATACTGAAAAGTGATTTCTTGTGATAAAGTCTAGAAAATTGATCTAAAAATAGGGCAGGGTAGCCAGCTTCCCGTGAACTGTGTGTACATTATTCAGTTTGTAGATTACCGCGTACGGAGTATACTTCCTTCTCTCTGCAGGGCAGCTAGGATTGTCCTGATTTTCCACAAATCAGTGTATGCCCAGAGAATGGAAAATGTAGGAAACTATAAGCCAGAATATATTTTGGAAGATAAAACTGCTAGGATAAATATCACATAATACAAAGCAAGTAAGTTGTGGATTATCTGTTAACTTATTTCCCAATGGCTCAGACTACTGAGTGCTAATTAACAATTTATTTGGAGAAAACTGAGCTTTTATACTTTCATACTTTATTTATACTTACAGTTTTGTCTCTCACATTCCAGAACACAGCTGCTCCTTCCCTGATTTAAAAGAATAAAAGAATCAACTACAGGTAGAAAACATTCTTTCGGGCCATACATAAAACTTAGGTAATGTCTAGAATGTGTCCAGAATGTAATTTAAAAATATTTGATTTATTATTGATTTGACATTATGGTTCCTACATGGATTTGCTAAAATAAGAGCTACTTTTTGAACTCTTGATAAAACCTGACCTCTCAAAAATTCATGATTTCTCTCAGGGTTTGCAGAATAAATAACTTCTTATAATACTATATAACTTCATGTATCTAAACTGTTTCAGGACATGGTTCCATAGTGTAGTGGTTAGCACATCTGCTTTACACGCAGAAGGTCCTGGGTTCGTGCCCCAGTGGAGCCACGGCCCATGGTCTACGGCCATGCCACCCTGAACGAGCCCAATGTCTGATCTCGGAAGTTAAGCAGGGTCGGCCTGGTTTATCTGTTAACTTATTTCCCAATGGCTCAGTACTTGGATGGGACACCACCTAGGAAGACCAGGTGCTGCAGGCATAAATAATAATAAATTAAAAAAGAATTTTGTAATAAATAAACTGGTTCAATTCTGATGTATAGAAATCAGAATAAGGAAATTTCTGAGATCTGTCTTAGCTCTCACTAGGCAGATTCTGCTATAGGAAAAGGTTAAAAGTCATGCTTTTAATAGCTGTAAAATAAAGAGACTGAGACGAATCAAAGCCTCAGGTGGCTAAAGGCACCTGTGGAATAGCGCCACTCACACTTATAGGCTCTAGCACAGCTCCAATGAAACCACAGGGCCCTCTGAATCCAGCCCAGCTTTGGTAGAGTTTAAGGCCTAAAAACTACAAATGAACTTGTTCTGATTTCTGAAATTTGACCTGTGGAGCTCTTTTAGGTGGTAAATGAAAACAGGAGTATGACTCTGGGTTACTGGAGGAGGGAAAGGTGGCAATGAAAGAAAGGTAGAAATACGCTGAGCCCACATCAGTCTTCAGACATTTTTTAAGCGATGTGCTTAGGATATGTGTGGGTCTGTGCTTAGCATCAGAGATACAAAGATGAGTGTGATCTAGTTCCTATCTTCAAGGAGCTCCAGATCTAGAAAAGACTAATACCCAGGCCACCAATTACTACAGAGTGTGATCAGCACTGTAACAGAATTATGCGGAATACACCTGGCTGTACTTCGGAGGGACACAGCTCCTAAAGCACCAACAGAGCACGCCTGGGCTCAGGGAGAAGGCACGAGGGACAGGAAAACGTCTCGGAATAAACAGCCGGTGGTCTGAATGGCTGTGGTGGGCAATGAGGTTAGAGGCAAGGAGGAGCCAACCCCTCAGGGAACTGTGCTGTGATAAGGGGTTTGCTCAAATTCCATAAAATTTTAAGCAGGAGAGTGTAATGAGCAGAAATACCTACTGAAAAATTATCCTGCCAGTAACAGACAAACAGACAATGGGCAGGGAGACCAGGTAGTGAATTATTGCAATAGACCAGCACAGGGTCTCAGGATATGGACTTGAGTGGTGTTTAAAGCCACAGTCAGAGTATCAGTTCAGAGAATCACATCCTGGCAGGCGAGTGGTCTGGGGAACTGGGCACCCTCCATCCAGAGCTGGGCTGTGCAGTGTGGCACTCAGAAGCCACGTGCGGCTACCAGGCACTTGAAATACGCCTGGTGCAAACTGAGAGGCTGTACATGTAAAACACACACCCACTTTCAGAGACTTAGCATGAAAATAAGAATGTAAAATCTCAGTAATTTTTGACTGATTACATGTTGAAATGATACTGTTTTAGATATGCTGGGTTAAATAAAACACACTCTTAAGTTTAATTTCAGGCAATATGATATTGTTATTGTTCAAAAGTGAATTCCTTTTTTTTTTTTTTTTAACTTTAAAAAATGTGGCTGTTAGAAAACACACGAGGCTTGCACTTGTGGCTTGCGTGGTATTTCTGATGGATGGCACTGATCTAGGGGGACCTCAGAAATCCACATCCCTCACCTGAGGCAAAGGAGATGCTACTCTACTTGGACTAAATGTTGAACTCTTATTTCCAAAGTAACATCAAAAGAAAGGTGAGCAGTCGACAGGAACAATGACAGGGCTTGCAGTTATCATCGACCACAAGGATGAAGACCGCGAAAACTTTATCGAAGTCTAGATTCTTACGGATATTCATTTGTTTCTGTTCTGCCACTTATTAGTCCCATGATTGTGGGTAATTCACTTAATCCCTCAGACTCTCAGTTTCCTCAGCTGACAAAATGGTAATAACATCTTTCTCAAGTGTTGTGAGGATAACATGAAATTATTCTAAGTTGTTTCTATTATCATGACCCTTCCCCTCAGCTACTCTGGAATAACTGATATTAAAAGAACCTTTAAAGAAAGAAACAGTGTGTATAAGTGAGGGTCCCTAGTCTGAAGTCTCTGGACAGGTAAACTGGCTAAAATTTCAGCTCAAGAGCTCCAGAGGAGGAGAAAGAAAAGGAAGAAAAGACAGCAGGGCGGGCAGCATGAACGTGAGAAGGGGCACGAAGGTGAGTGGGGAACAGGATACTCTACACATACTTAGTATATGCCAATCCCGGTTTACAAATAGAGACTGGTTTTAAAAATTCTTTATTTTATAAGAAGATTTACTAGAAGAGTCCTAAAACTGAAAAACCCTCCTAGATAAATTAAGAATCAAAAGATGAATTTAAATCACAAATAAATTTTGAACACATTTACTCCTGAGAGGAGGTACACTCACACCTTAAAGGCCACATCACCTGACCATGAGCCCACCTCCCAGTGCGGTTTCTCTCTTGTCTTACCTGAAGAAGAAGATTATTCCAGGATCACCTTCTTTTGCAGAATTTTCCACACCCATCACCAAAATGTTTGCTGCATCTATGATTTAAAATGAAATACTGAAAAGCTATGTCACAAGGTGACAGAAGGTTAAGAGTCACCTATAAACTTTTAATCAACAATTTATGATCATTTCTTCATATACCATTAAACACTCCATAACACACTGTCCATCTTTCTACTAAGGTTTCTGAAAGTATTTAATATATGCCGATGAAAAGACAATACAAAAAGCATCTTCACAAAACATTCAACAACCTATGTTACTATTGTTATTGCTATTTAAAACTTCATTCACACCCATTTTGAATCAGTAAGTACTAGTTCAGTTAATAATTATTAAAGTGTTAGTTTAAAAAAAACTAAGGCTCAAGAAGTAAACTTCTTTCTACAAAATTAATTTAAAATAAAATTTGAAGAACCATTAATATATTCTTATCTTTTAAATACCATTTTATTCACAATATAATTTTACATAATAATATAATTCTCAAACTACTAATTCTGCTGAATTTTAAATTATATTACATAAACTTTGGGTAACAGAAAATATACAGAAACAAAGATACTGATCGTTTTAAAACATCTGATTTTAAAGTTAATTATGAGAACCACCATAACCATCTGTAACAAATGTTAACCTTTTAAATATTATCAAATATATATTAATATACAAATACTCATCAATAAGAAGTTGCTTTACATATTAGTGTAGTAATATTTAAAAGTATATAATCTGTTATAAATAATGTTAATATAAATTAACATACTAATATTAATACATGAAGTTATATATAATTTCTTAATCTAAAATTAGAATCACAGTTTCGGAATTCCTGGCACAGGCTGGGGGAGGAGGGGTTCAGATAGAGACCAAATCCTAAACTACCTTTTTTGAGTGAACTAACTTCCCTAAGTACTACATCCTACAAGGGCAAAGTTCACCTATGTTTCCAAGAGCAAAATAAAGCAAATGGACCGGTGACAATGGTCCAAGAAGCCCCTGGGTATACAGTGTACAGCCACCCTCCCCAACAGCCAAGGACAGCCAAGGACAGCCAAGGACACCCCGGGGCCATTTTTCATCTTAGGGGCCCTAGACAGAGCTCTGTTTTTCTAAGTCAATTATGTTTGTTTCTGCCATTAAATAGCACAAATAGTCTGTTCAGATCATCAAGGCTGAAAAAAACATAATGACATGTCTACTATTTCTTATGGAGTCAGTGACTCTTAAGAATTTTCTCTGAGGCAGGGAGGTTTTTAACTTGTTATTTTGGCTACTTTGAGGTAAATTCATGAATTGCCATCAAAATATTCCAAGTTACTTATTTTTTAAATATAAAGCAAGTTATTTTCTCAAGAATCCTTCCTGATACTATTCTAATATCCTCAATTAAGTTTATTTTAATCCTCTTTTTAATATTGAGTTTATCATTTAATTAATTTTGTTAATTTTAGAGTATTGGATTGTACTGGTAAATTTTTTTTAAAGGCTCTCCCCAACATTTCTATCAGTTTCCCGGTCCTTTGGTAATACTTTTCAACCTGACAGAAATGAAGTGTCATGGCCTTTGATCATCCCAGGTCCGAGTGATGCTATAAAGCGTAACAGATCTTACTGATTTGAATCTGAGAACTAAGTTCTCTGTAAATACATTTCAGTTTCTTATCTTTGTATGCCATCTAGATGAAGAGATTCAACACCACTGCTATGATGCAATCTTTTAAATGGAAAATGAAACTTAAGCAAATGCATATTTAAGGCAGTATCACAAGAAAATTATTTTCTAATACATTTTAACATACTTGGCCCCGGGTTCAAGATGTACCTCTAGGTAAGCTTGTTACTTCAACATATCCGTGACAGGCCAGATCTTGAGAAAGATTTCCAAGAAGATATTCATCTGCAGTTGCAAATGCTGTGCAGTGCATCAGCTCCTGTTTCAGCGGGAACAGCAGGACATGGGTTACCAAGAGGCTAAAGTGTCTGCAATGGCTGCTGTCACCTTGCAGGACTCCATTTTGCAAAGCTAGCACTCGAGAGTTTTCTTCAAACATCTCAAAGGCTCATGCAAAGGGGATGTTAAGGATGAGGGGAAAGAAGCAACGGGGAGACAGAGTTCGGCTCAATCTATGAAAGAACTTGCTCCCGCTAGCCAGAAGGACAGAATGGCTATCCTGAAAGGGGGAACCGCTCCCCAACTGGCAGTGTTTCAAGCACAGACCGAGCAAAATATATAGGGAATCAAGGCATCATGTGGGCACCTGGATGAAATGCTATTTAAAAAGTCTCTCCAACTTTGAGTTCACACGATTCCTTTTCAGAGAGACATTTTTGTTTGAGATCACTTAATAACTTGTCACTGGCCTGGTACAGGCAGAGATCACTGTAAATCTACAAAGGAATTACTTATACTCTGGTTAATATTAAACAAAAAGTTTTGTAAATCTGAGAGTGCATCCAGGTCCGGGTAGTGCTTCGGTTCCTGCACTGAGTCTCGTCTGTGTATACACATAAACATACGTGGTTTATCTACAGTACACATGTGGAAAGGAATATGGCACAGTGCAGTGTTTTTGTCAAGCTGTAAGCCAGAACCCATTAGTAAGTCCTGATATCAATTTAGTTGGCCCGAACCAGCTTAAAAAAAAAAAGCCCACTAAATAGAAATAGAAAACATTAGAGTACATTATTTAAGTAAGGATAAATTTTTATGTTTTCTGAAACTTAAATATATCTAAGTATGTATACAGAGTCACTATGTGTGTATAATATAAACTATATTTCTCACTTTGGGTTGTGGTCAATAAAGTTCAAAAGCTATTGGCACAGGTGCTAAAGAGTTCAGGCACAGAATTTGATTAATTTTAAAGATCAGAATAACAATCATGCCTATTTTATAGAATTGTTGAAAAGTTTAAACAAGTTGATCAATGGCAACTGCTCAGAACCATGGCTGGTGTTTGCAGATTACAGTTATTGTTGCACATACAGCTATGTTTAAGGCATCAAAATTTATGGGAAGTTAAAAAGCTAATCAAGTAACTTACACCTGAATTTTCATATGTTCATAATTTTCTGTTTTTAATGACTACTGATCAGAACAAGTGACTATTATCTTTTGATACATATTATGGTGCCTTGACCTATCATTGGTCAAAAGAGGTTTATGAGTCATTTATATGTGAGCTGGGATTTACTTATCTCAGCTCCTAAATTCTTCCCCTTTCTGTCGCCCTACTCTTAGTGTGAAATTCAAGAAAAGTAGTATATTAATTTCTTCCTTCCTCCCTTTGTAACCTAACTCTTGGCCCTTTCTCAGGAAATGGCCTAACCCTGCTTTGCCTGATCCTCGATCTGTTACACAGCTCTAATGTGTGGTTTGAAAAGGAGCAGAGGAATTAAGAGGACCCCAGGATACTCACAAATGGAAAAACCTAAAGGCAATAAACATCTACTCAGAAATAAAATGATTTTAATTCAAATGGAAAAAATTAAAAGCTAGACAGAGCTGAAATTGTTGAATGTGAGGATGAATGAATGTTAACAGCCTCCTTTTCCAGTTATGTGATGCGCTGACTCCCACAGGCACATGAAGGTATGAGCATAAGCATATGGAGCCATATGGCCAAAGTATAGTTACTGGAGTAGAAGAATGAGTTATGTGCTTAAAAATTAGAACTGCTAGCGCTGTCTGTTCTTTTAAGGCTCTATGGAGTTAAAAAGAGCTGACAGGGTATGAGATTATGTTGGATGGAAGAAAGGAATCCTGTTAAGATGCATCAGGGAAGGCCAAAGTAGGCAGACCCTACTCTGAGAGAGCAGACAGATTTACTGAAGCTTGTTAAGCAAAATCACAGTATATTAGATTGGACATCAGAATTCCTTCTGTGACTGCTACAGCCGACCTGCTTCATTTGGGCCGGAGTGGGAAGAACAGCAGGCATAAAGAAGATAGCAAATAAGAAAGTCAAGGCTAGTTCGGTGGAAATGGCAGAACCTGACCATCTCTAGAATCAGAACTGTAAAAGTGGCTGCCCAGAGAGTTAGCCAACTCGAATCGACTCACACAGTGCTTTTAAGATCTGAATTAACATTCAACAATAAACTGCGATTCCACACAAAACCCAGATTTCCACCACCTTGAGATCAAGGGGAAGATCTGCCAATACTCGACTAGGGTTGAAGGGGCCAGAGTCCCTCTTGCTCTCTACTGTCTCACGCCTGCTCCGCCACCATTTATGAAACTAACCAGGTGCATCCGTGCTAAAAATTTATACTATTTTGCACTCTCAAAAATGAGGCAAGGCAAAGCATTTAATCACTATTTGCATGAGAAAATTTATGCGCTCCAAATAGTCAGATTATAAATAAATCGTAAAACACAATCTGGTCTTACTTAGCCATGCCAGGATCTTCTTTGCAGATTTTCTGAAGAATGTCATATTTCCTTCTCTCCTCATGTCCTATTTAGTTTGGCTCGAAGTTCTAGCCAATGTCACATAGCTTACATGGCTTGTCACACTACTTTCTGTATCCTCCTTAAACACCCTGGATCTGAGTCTCTGTTTAAGTTATGGCTTCTTCTATTAATAAATGATTCACAAAGTTTTTCAGTTTGACTTGGTGGGCATATCTTTTTTTTTTTTGGTTTTATTTTGTGTCTAAATTTCAAGACTGTATTTAAATCCATTTGGTAAAGGGAA